AGCAAGCGTTAAATTTCACAGGGAATAACTAACATGGGATCTTTCAGGGGAGTTATAGGCTAACAGGAAAAACTTGCTGGCTTGTTATAAATACCAAAACTATGCATTGTTGTACAATGTGTCCTGTCCCAAAGTGCTTAGAGTCTACATATACAGTACAGGATGTACTAAGAGACACAAAACATAGTGCTATCAAATAATTAATTTTCTTTCCTCTCTCATCAGAAGCAAAGCTGCTAAATGTAAGCTGGTACAAAACTACATATGGCCAGAAACAGCTTATGCTTCTTCAAAGGATGGACCTGAAACACAACATGATAGAAAATGACGGTAGAAAAGATCATTTAGATCTTTTAGTCTCATTTTAATATAAGCTTATCTTTAATATACGATTGTCTATAAAATCTTTTCAAAACTTGGTTCCATCCTTTGTGATCAGAGACCTAAGGAAGAAAGTCTTGCATTTGAAGGCTTATCTAATTTTAACTCCACTACCTAGCTGGTCCAGTAAAAGATATCGCCTTAAGAAATCCTTGCTCCTCGTATCATTTCTGGACCATGATGGCTATGACATTACTCTTACACTCCAGTCCTAATGGGTTTATCTACCTTATAGATGTCAGGCAGGGTCAAGGACATCTGCCTTGCAATTTTTTTTTGTTTCGTGTCCTATATCTATGTTGTCCACTATGCTGTCTACCCATAGGCATTTGCAAAGTGTAGTCCTTTAAAAGTGCTAGACAACATCTGTGTAATTCTAGGGATGTAACATTCTAAGGCTAAATCCTCAGTAAGCAGTGTGCTCAAATGCAAAATAGCCTACATGTTTTCCCTGTTCAGAAACAGTTTTTAAACATAACAGACTACTACTCAGAATTTAGATAATCCTTTCCTGTTCTTATCACCTAATGCTATTAAATCAAATTGATAATAAGCATTAAATAAGCATTAAAAGGACTAAAGCATTGTTCAGAACTATTTATCCCAATAGTGTAAGACATTCTTCAGTGAGACCAGTTTCAGAATCAATTTAGAAGCAGAAACATGAAGATTCTTGTGAAAACAGCAGCATAGATACCTCTGAGGTTTTATTAAAGTTAACAAGAGCACCCTCTAGTGGACTTTCCACTTTGGACTTTTTACAAACTGACGTTTTCTGATAGATGAATGCCAACTGTCAGCCTTTAAGTTTCCAGCTCCTGGTGGGATTGTGGTGGAAAAAGTAATAATTAAGATAAAAACAAATGTGCAAGCCTTACTCTGCAAGCATAATTCTACAATATTATAATAGATTAGCATTCTTTTTCTGAATTTGTCAGACCCCTCATGGCCTGTTTAGAAACAGTCAGCATATAACTAGACTGTGTTTCTGTGTGAATATTTGTTTTTGAACTCAACTGTGCTGGTGTACTTTCTGATAGATTTTTTTTGGTCTGAAGACCACCAGACACAACAAAGTTAATAGATTTCTAATTAAAACTGAGATTCTCACCTAATCACTTGTCTCTAGCAAATGAAGCTATAACAGGAATAGGAAACATGACAAGAGCTGCAATAAAATTGTGAAAATGATCTATTTTCTGTGTTTGTAGGATGGGGCCCTGTCGCAGAGCACCTCGGAGCTCTGCTCCTAGGGAGTAGAAACTGCCAGGGAGAGAGAGCCCTGGCAGGTCATAACGAGCCCAGCTGAGTGTCGCCAA